AAAATTCTAATATATTGATTTTTTTCACTTTTCTGCAGGAATTATATATAATATATTTAAACCATATACATATTTACTACTCATTTACAAATTGTAGTTATCTTAATTAAACTGTAAATAATCTTTATATTTGTTTAGAAATATTTTATAGAATTCTAATTTTAGTTTCATTAATCTTTTTGAAGGCACATTTATAGATGCTATAGGTTATACATTAATATGACGTATTATAGCACGTTTCTTATGAAAATATATGGATTGTAATTTTTGTTGCAAATCGCAAACTTAACTAAAATATAATTTTATAATATATGTAGAAATGCATTTTTTTACATTATATATTTCATAATATTATTTTGTTCATATAAATTATGTAATACAGTTCTATATATATATTTACTTCATATTGTTATATTATGCAGCATATAATAAGTCATTAATTTAGGAAAGTGTACAATATGTATCTTTCTCTATGCTCTCCTAACTAATAGTTCATAAGTGTGTGTAATATTACATTACTCTTCTTGAAAAAACTATAATAAAAATTATTTATATCCTTAAATTTACCAAATAATCCTTATATATATTATACATTATCGTTTCGCCCTTGTTTATTTTTTTCATTCCGTTATGATTGCATTGAACTTTTTTTTATTATAACTTCCATATAAACATAAAACTAATTAAATGAAACTTATAAAATGTGCATTATTTCATTATTAAAAGAATTATAAATTATAAGGTTTCATAAGTTCAAATTATGATAATTTATAAATTTTAACGGAAAAGTATTTTAACCAATTTATATGTTTTGAATATATTTACATTAGAAAAACACAATCATTATAAAAAATAATGTAAAATCATAATAAAAAATAAAAAAAATACACTTAAACTTTATGATTATTTCTATATTTTTGTCCTATATATTTTCCATGGTCTTTATACACAAAATATATTATATGAATGTATAATGTTTTTTAAGTTATTAATGTTCTGTGTTATTGAATATGATACATAATTTTTCTTCTTAATATATACTATGTATTGAATAATACATTTAGCTATATTTTTCATGTACATTATTGTTTATTTTATATTTATTTAGGATAAAAGAATTATTAATAGCTTCTCCAAGGAACCTTTTCATGTATAAGAATCTAAGCTTAATTCATTAATCTACAATATTATGTGCTATACAAAAAAATAAGAAAATAATTCAAAATTATGTCACACGATAAATATAGAAATATAAAATTATACTCACATATATATGTCTTAAATTATATCAATAATTATATATATATATGAAAAGAAGTAAAATTCTTTAGAATAAATCTATAGTAATAAGGAATAATAAAAATATAAATGTAAGTATTTAAGAAACATCATATTATAGGATAAATCATGAACAGTAAAAGATAATATAATACAAAAAAAAAAAAAAAAAAATGTTAAAATTAAATTTTATATTAATAAAGAATAGTATTATATAATACGTATTTGTGGGAAAGTGATATATCGTTAAAAAAATGTAATGTATACGAAAATGCTAATGAAAAATATTAATATATATCTCTATTTATAAAAAGATATATGTAAAAGACAATATATACCTATATAAAAGTCTATTAATTAAGTAAAAATGATTAAATTATATTATAAATATATTTTAATAAAATTTTTTAGTATGAATGTGAGAAACTTCGTAACCATTAGCACTATTGTTGTTATATATCATAAGAAATTCAAAAAATAAGTTATTATATATAAATGTGAATTATTAATCAAGGTGTATTCCCTTTAAATATGTAATGAAAAGAATATTATATATGAATATATTAGAAAATGTTTTTTAATATTGAAGCGAATTGTGGGCATGATTTTTAAATATTATTATTCATTTATGGAAATGTAACTATTTTCACCATATACTTTTTCAGAAAAATAGTTTCTGCTTTTATTTCCTGTATATTTTATTTCTGGTATGCTTATATTTTTTTAAAACATTTTTTACTTTAACATATAGACATAGCTTTATATCTATCGTAGTATTATTTTTCGGAGAAATATTTATTGAGAAAATTTGACATCTAGTGTTTGTAGTATTTATATGAATAATAATTAAATTTATAGATATATGAATTAGGATTTTATATAGACATTATATTATTATATAATATTCAATATTCTAATAATTATAGAGGACAATATATTGATTATATATAATTTTTATGAATTGCATATATTATATGTAAAATATTATTAAAATATATCCACTATATATTATATATGATTCATTTTCAAAGATTGCACATGAATTCAGTATATATTTATATATAAAACCCATTTTCCCTTTACAATTTCTTTACAAAATCGATAATAATCTAACTTAAAGATTCAATATGTATTTCATATTTCCTTTCATTTGTCATTATATATTAGTTTAGAGTTTTACCCAATTTTTTATTAAGTCATGTATTTTCTCATTTGTTATATGTACTTAGACAATGTGTTCTATGCTTTTATATTTTTAATTTTATAAATATCTCATATACTCTCTATTTAAGAAGCTTATCTCATTGGAGCAATTTAATTAACATATTTGTATGTTATACAAGGAAGACTATATATATATAGATCCATATTTTTTCAAAAAACCTATTTTGTTATCTTACGGTGTCATATTTATGTAATGTTTCTCATACTGTGTAGACTTAATATATAATATCTTTTTTAATGAAGTGCTTGCAGAATTAATTTTAGATATAAAATAATAAATTACACAATATTTGCACAAATTTTTTATTTTTTTTATGTAATTTATCATAAAAGAAATTTTAATTTATAAAGATATTTCTCTGCTATATAACATTAAATTTATATGATATTAAATTAGCTTTAAACCCTATCAAATTCTATATATTTATAGATTACTAATCGCAATACTATTCCTTTTAATGTAAAATTAGGAATTAATATGTTATATACGTGATAAAATGTAAAATGAATATGTAGTAAATAATTTCATAATTAAATATGTAAATTTTACTGTATATATAATATATAAATTTTTCCGCTAATTTAGATTTTTTATAAATACAAATGTAAAAAATTGAAAAGCAAATCCATTATGATAGAAATTAATAATTATTGCTAATATTTTTTATATCATTAGAGTTAATATATAGTTCTATCAAAAAATACTATTTTCGAAAATTTTAATTATTAAACTATATAATTATGGGATAACATGATATATATTTAATATATAAAATGTTGTTTATAACCTTAAATTTTTAGTGAAAAAATGGGGATATAGAAAAAATATTATTCTTTACTTTTCATTTTTAAATAGAAACAGTACTTTCGTAAACATGTCGATTTTTGTTCACATAACGAAATATACTTTCCATGTATTATTATATTATACACTCAAATTGTTTTATATAACGCAGTTAGGATAGGTGATTTTGATTAATATGATGCTATAAATAAAATATTATATAAATGATTTAGGAATTAATTCTTGAAAAATCCACTTTTATTATATTATATATATTCGTTATATTATAAAACTAGCGTTTCGTTTTATATATTATTTTTATTTCAATAAAAAGTGATAATATTTGACTCGTCAAAGTACAAAATAAAATTTAAAATATAGTATATGAATACGAATTGATAAAGTGATAATTCTTATTTATATATTAACTTAATATATATTTTGTTATGATAGTATCTAAATTTTTTAGAAATATGTATTTGTAGCATAGTAAGATAAATGTTCTCGTTTAGGGGCAAAATATGAAACATGAATGCATATTTATAATATTAAATGATATTGTAATTTAAGAGTATACTAAATGATACCTAATATTGTACCCTTTATTATACATAACGAATAGTTTGCTGATATCCATTTTCAGTACAGTATGATAATGCATTTTAGTGAATTTTTATCTATTATTACATAGGAAAAATAAAATAACTACATCATTATCCCTAATAATTACATATTCTAATATTTCATATATTTTTAATTAAATTATGCATATCAATATAAGAAATACAATTGAAAAATATTTATTATTATTAAATATATATTAATATCATATAATAATATTATATTATTTACTTTTGAGTATACTTTTAGTAAAATTATATGATTTCAATATTTTAGACAGACGATATAATCAATCAAGCTATTTTTTTTTTTTATATTATTCTAATTCTAGAAAATAATATTTACTTTTTTTCCAAAAGATAATTAAAAAACATAATATTTTTTATAGTGATCATTGTTTTTTTTTTTATTTTAAAATTTAGTTATTTTAGGGAATTGTTCAAATTTTATATGATTTCTATAATTTAATAACAGTAGAAAATTAACTTTATTATATGTGTTCTAATTTTTAAATACACTATATATATGTCCTTATATTGTATTATTCTATCCGGGCTCTCTGTAAAAAAATATAAATATATAAGAAATGACTAAAGATATTGTACATCATAATTATTATAATATAAAATACTACATTATAACATTTTTACACATTATTTTTCAATAAATTAGCAATAAAAAATTTAGTAAATTATTAATTATGTCATGAAATAATTTTTCATTTATTTCTAGTATAAATATTTAGAGGAATTTCCATTATGGGAAAATATTATGAACAATGGAGAAATTACAAAAGAACCGATTAAAAATACTGAATGTAATGACATTAGAGAAGATATACCTATAAAATTTCGTTCGGATATTGACAATATATGCAAAAAAGTTGATTCCTATACACGATATTTAAGCATATATCACACGAGTTCCTCTTGGAATTCCAAATCGTGTTGCATATATTTGTATTATTGGCTATATATTTATTATGATAATGAAGACTATGTTGATGAAGTTAAAGAGCTTTATAATAAATTAATAAATGTATTTTATGATTCAATTGGTCTGGGATGTAAGTTTCATAAGGAGAATACATTTACATATATTGAAATATTAAACCTCAAAGATATATATGACATGAACACTAAGCTTAATAAAATAAGTGAGAAAACTGAAGTATCTAATAAAGAATGTGAATGTGCAAAAGAATGTGCAAATAAATATATGGGATACAAGGATACATGTAAATACAACACTTTCCCCTTTTTTTGTAATGCATTAGAAGTGTTTAGAGAAAAATATAATAAAAAATTATCATCTATTAATTGTGATAATGGTACCCCCAAAATTTTACCTTCCTTACAGACGAATAATATAGTAACGTTTACATTAATTCCAATTGTTATAACTTTAGCAATTTCTTTTTTTTTATTTATCTTGTATAAGGTTTATAATTATGTTATATATATGTGCTTATACAGCAGTAGTATATATTTAAGTGATTTAAAATGAACAAATTTTTAGAAAACAATTACACATGTTTCATATTAATTCTTCTTATTATGAGATAGTTCACTCCATATGGTCCATGTATCCGACATGAATTAATGAGGAAAAGGAAAAAATATGATAGTATAGATAATGAAAGTAATATAACGAAATTATGCGAAACATCTACTTATGATTTTAAAAATAATAAATATCTTATATTATACAACACTCACTAATTTATTCATTAAAAATATAATATGAATGTAATACTATATATTAAACATGTACAAATTACTGTAACATATATTTATAATGATACATTTGATAAATTTATGTAGAGAAAGAAATAATTATCTTTATATACAAAGAATAAATGAACATGATTTTTTTGTATTCATGATATAAGGATTCACATAGAAAAATACATAATTTTTGAGGTCTTATTCTCTATGCATATTAATGTACAACAAAAAATACAAAACACGCATTTCGCGTTTTTTTTGCTATTTCCTATGATATTAAAAAGAATATGACATTTCTACATTAATAAGTGAATTATACATATAAAATAATAATAATGAATATTACCTAATATGTTAATCCATATTTAAATTACATATATCTATAATAATTAAATATAGATCAGTTGAAATATTATAACAAATTATTATATTTAATAAGATAATATTATTGAAAATTAATTTCCAGATGTTAAATACTAATGTTACTCATGCATATAAGTATATTTGTACTTAATTTTTTATGAAATTCATGTAGAGTGCTGTAAAAGAATGTATGTTATTTTATGTCACATTTATGATATTGATAAATAATTACATATAACTTTTATTATTCTTTGTTTATTAGAATTAAAACTTATCCTTTTTTTGACACAATATTGTGATTGATTTTTTTTATTTTTTTATGTATAATTTTGTATTCTTTTTTTGTAATCTATTAAATTAGAATATTTTTATATAATATGATAAAAAGCTATTTATTTACAGATTCGGTTTTTTAAAAAAATCTTAATTTATATATATCCTTATATTAGGGATTTTTGATATGAAAAATATTATATTATTTATAGCATACATACTAGCACATAAGACATGAGGGGATGAACGTTTAAATTATATTATAATATTGTGATAATACTTTTTATATAATTATGAAATATATAAAACAAATATATAGAATTATATATTTTATATAAAAAATTAGCAATCATTTTATGTGCTCCAATGAGTTCTTAAATATGTATATATAGACAATTGAAATATAGAAAACTTAGCTAACATTTTCAAATCTAAATACCTAAGCAACATGTAAGGTAACAAAAAAATATATAGAAATTATGAAATATATAAATATTCATATTTGTAGAAATAACATAATGAAAAATTCAAATAAATCTACTTAATTATGCATTTTAATAATAATTCATATTTTATGAAAAATAAAAACACAGATTAAAATTATATGTACGTGATACTGAAGAGATAATTACTCGAAAAAAATAGAACAAATAATTTTTATTATATTTAAGTACACATATATTACTATCTCAAAAAATATATGAATATAAATTATTTGTTTTCGTTGTTTTCATTTATTATTGAAGATACATTATATGTATTCGTATTAAAATTTTACTGCACTATGTGTATTTTTGTGCACTGAAGGATTTTGTGTATAATATGCATTAGTATAAAATGTTTTACTATTAATTGGTATAATATAACTATATATATATATATATATAT